TTTAATAGTAATAGAGTGTTTTTATCATATGAAGTATATATCTCTAATAATTCTGCATTCATGTAATATATTTTTTTTTCTTACACAATTGTCAAAGATAATCAGTCAGAATATTTATTTGAAATAATCTTATACGATTATCTTTTTCAATATTTTTTGTATATATGTAGTAGTATTTGTCTCTCCTCGCTAGATTAATTAATTCTCTAAAATAAAACAAAAAAATTTTTTGTTTATTATTATAATTATTATTTTTTTTAAACCTGACGCATATCATAAGATTCGTTTAATTACAAAATAAATCTCTTTAAGCGCTTTAACTGCTTACGTATGTATAATATAGATGATCAGAGAGAGAGAGAAAGAGAGAGAGAGAGAGAGAGAAAGATAAAAACAATGATAATTCATAATAATATCTTTTTAAAACAGATTACACCAATTCATTCAATATTTCCTTATGACTAAAAATCGAACAAGCTTTTTTTTACTTTTTTTATTCATATATATATATATATATATTTAGTCTATTCGATTTGTTATGTGTGCACGTGTGTGTGTATGTGTATGTGTACAGTACAGATAATATATCTGAAATATTCGCGTTATCGAACGTATAATAAAAACGTAAGAAAAGAAATGCTTTCTCTCTTCTTCTTTTATTCATTAGCGAAAATATTGACGATAAAAAAAAGACAACAAAAAATTGTCTAATGCCAAAAGGCGATGCGCTTTTTTCTCTATTTTTTTTTTTTTTATCCTTTTAAACGCTATACACGTTCGTATATAAAGTTATTATTATTATAATTTTGTTTTGTTCATTTTTTTTTTTTTTTTAGTAAGATTTCTTATGCAATTGTTATTTTATTTTTTGTAACTAGGCCCTTTTCTCGCCAAGGTCCCGGTTTCTTCGATTAGCGGTATCTGTATTAAAAAATACAAGATTTATGTAAATCCCAGTTCTTCTGAATTACTATCTGAGATAGCATATATGAGATGTATATATATATATATATATATAATATATTATTATTATTATTATATATATATAATAATAATAATAATAATAATTATAGTTTTAATATGGCCAATGAACATGCTTGCAAAAGACTAATATGCTTATTATCTGTGATGTATAACACCATTTTTAAAATGGACTACCAAGAAATACTAAAGACCATTTCAAGTTTCATTTATAATATATGTCGATGTTACAGCTTTTATAAATTTAACTTATAAAATATTTTAACGATTGCACGCTTAGAGCACTTGGTATATATATATTCGATATATATATATATATATATGTCAAATAAAAAGAAAAAAAAATATGTGCAGTTAATTAATAATATTCATTACATGGATTTCTATTTGATCGCAAAGACATACGGTATACACATACGACATCTATCAATGTTAAACTTCAAATGGTAGCAGCAGCATATTCAGTCCCATAGAGAAGATTTAAACTTGTCCATTTAACGCGATATATAAAAACAATTGTGGACACTACCCTGTCATGTAATACATCAAGGAACTCTCTACACACTCTCGTATGGATTACTAAGGATGTAAGAAATGTTTTTTTCTCAATGGGACCGATCATAGGTCCTTATTAAATAGTATTTAATGTCAAAATCGTATTATTACAATAACTCGACATTTGGAACCACCAGAGAGTATATTCCTGGTAGCCCACTTCGATAGGTGCTTTGCTAGCAAAATATTCCAGATTTAATTTTGCAGCGAGACTGATCATTCTGTATATGATTGATGGTGGGATAAGGCGGTCAATAGTTGAGACCTGCATTATATATATTAAATCAGGCCTAAAACAGAAGATTCATTTGTTCTTTTTCTATAACCTAGAAAATAATAAACAAAATGAAAACGATGATTATCGATGAAAGATTTATTTAGGTTATCTTTAGATCTTATGATTTAATTTTTGTTATACCTAGGAGTGATGATAAGGAGTAACGTAGGTAGATGGAAACAGTCCTCTTCTATTACCAATTTCCCCATGCCACCAATGCTGATCTGTGCGATCTGTAACAGTTATTACATCTCCCCGCCTAAACTCCAACTCACCAGGTTCTTGTGGAGCAAAGTCATATAATGCTTGCACTAAACACTGAAATAAAAAAAGATATATATATATATATGTTTTTATATATACGCATTTCATTTCTAATCAATAGTAATTTGTCTGTGAATATTCTTACCTCTTCAGGAATCATATCACGTAATTTAACATCTTGCGAACGTGATACAGATGCTGTACGATGATATTCTACCAGCTCATTCAAACTATTAAACTTTACAACCCAAAGAAAAAACTTGCCTTGAGCGTCTCTTAATACTTTAAAATGTTGCACACCATCTGAACATCTGTCGTCATAAAGAAACAATATCAATTTTTGAACACTTGTTGATTCGTTTAAAAGTATATTATTATTGCAGAAATAAACATATTCTTACTTTACAGATAGTGAAAAGTCTCCAGGAGAGCTTTCACTGATTCTAATCAGAAAGGCACCTTCATGCTTATTCATTAATAGCCTTTCTGCATCTGCTCTTGTTATCTTTCCGTAATACCAACTAAAAATAAAATCAGAATAATAAGATATATCTTCTTTTTAATTTACTACAATGTAAAAAGTAAAACTTACTCGTGATTTTTCATTTCTATGTAATTACTTGGAATGAGTCCTTCTCTGGAATCTAATTCGGCTCTGAACCAATTTATATCATCCTCCATATTTAGAATCTAATAAAGAAATAAAATATTATTTTATATTTTATAAAAATACAATTACATATTTAATATAATATAATCAACATTTATATATAATTTTATAATTTTATTATTATTTATTGTTTCTTTACTTATATTCATATAAAATAATGACCACATTGAAGTTTTTGAATTTCGCGGGCGAATTCTTTTTTCGACGAATACGAAATCATCTATGAATATAGTAAAATAAAGCAACATCATATCGATTGTTACTACGAGGAAGAGAATGGAAAACACATAAGCTATACGCTAATGACGATGTTAGAAAATCAAGTCAATTCAAATAAAATATCAAATCAGATATTGTTATCGATAGTTATCAATAGAAACGATCGATACAAGAATTTTATCACAAATTTCATTAGAAAAATTAACCTCAACAATTATTATCACTATACAAAAATAACATAAACTAACTTTATTCGTAATTAAAATAATAACATAAAAATATTAAAGGCAAACAAACAAATGTTCAATTATAAGATTTCATACATTTGTTTGCCCAGTAATATTATAGTTAACATTTTTTATTAATGCAATTTAAAAAATTAGCCAATCAGAAAATTGTGTCAAAAAAATATATTGCGTAATGATTGCACATAAAAAAAGTATACAACCTATAAAAATTACAAAACAATACTATTGACAAATTCTCGGCTAAAAATAAAAGAAGCTAATGTTTGCATTTCATAAACGAATAAAAAATAAAATAAATATTGTTGCAAACCAATCGAATATTCAAGAATAACAAAATTTGTGAGTGTATATATATGAGAAATGTTTGCGGATGTTCGGTGATCAGTCGTCGTAGAGTATGAGCCAATCAGAAGCAAGTATATTGGCTCGACGACGGTGAGCTGTTTGTTGATTGGTTAGTTAGTTGGTTCATTAAAGTACGAAGAAACAATACTTTCGAAGGGTCTGTCATCGAAAAATGCAATCAACAATAACAACACACAACGCATTGATGACATTAAATAATAATCAAAATAAAGATAAGAAAAAGAAATGAAATAAGTAAAATTGTCAATCAAAAAGAAATCGTTTTTTCCCGGAAATACGAACCTTAAGGACTTGACACCTGCGAAAGCTAAGCTCATCCTCGGCTGTCGCGGTAAAGTCGTGCTTGGCTACCGCCTCCATTCTTCTTCTTCTTCGTCTTATCCTTCTTCTTATTCTTCTTTTACTTTTTCCTTTCTTTTTCTTATTACTTCTTCTCTTTCTTCCACTTCTTCTACCCTCGAGGGTCAAACGCGCGTGTATGTACTAGACGGATTGCGGTGAAGAGGACCGAGAGGGGAACGAAGGGAAGGAAAAGAACAAGAGGAAAAGAGCGAGAAGGATAAAAGAGGAGTAGGAGTAGGGGAAAGAGATAGAAAGAGAAAGAGAAAAAGCTATATCACAGAGAAAGAGAGAGAGAGTCAGTCCTCGAGGCGGCACCAAAGGCGGCCACCTTTGTCTGTGAATGTAAAAAAAGAAAAAGAGGAAGAAAGAAAATATAAGAAAAGGAAAGAGGAAAGAAAAATAAGGGAACTTCGAAACGTAACACAACACAGCAATAACAGAAGAAGGAGGAATAGAAGAGTTAGTAAAATTTGTTGATTGTTCGATTTCTTTTTATCGAATAGCACTTACTTTCCAATTTTCACTGAGTTAGCATATCGTTGGATGAAACTTAGGTGGCTCTTTGCACATATATTGTATATGTAGTATATATATATATATAAAACTTGTACGAAAAAGCTTTAAGGACGCGCACTTAAAAACACATCACCAATATCTCACGTTCGCGCACAGCAGCAACAGCAGCAGCAGCAGACACAAACACTGCTATTTGATTTGTCTCTCCACCCCGTATGTATCAAGGAATACCACCGAAAATTTTCTGACCAACGATCTCCTTCTTTCTGTCTTTGTCTCTTTTAAGCTTTCCTTTTCTATTTTATATATCTTTCTCTCTCTTTCTGTCCGTCTACCTATCTCTCTTGCACTCTATTCAAATTCAACGGCGTTCAATGACACCCGCGAACGAACTAAACTACGATCACGACAACTTGCATCCTCGTTCTATGAAATCGAGAGAAAGGGTAAAGTGAAACGATCAAAGAAAAGAGAGAGAGAGAAACTTGTGTATCGAGTCAAAAAAAAGGAAAATAAAAAATAATAAAACAGAGAGAGAGACACAAAGTATAATGGCGGATCCGTTGTGTTGTGATACCTGTGTACTTAAAAAAAAGTATAGTTTTTATTCCGATATTGAATTTCCTCAGATATTATCCTTTTTTGTTTTTCTTCAACGGGACGAAAGGCAGAACTGTCAAAATAGAAAAGGTACGTTGCTTGGATCACGCACTCTCACGAGAGCGACCATCGCTCGGTCTTATCAGGCGTTACACTCTCTCCTCGCCCGGTATAACCGTGCTCTCTTTGCGTTTCATCCTCAATATTCTCCTTCTCTTTCTTTTCTTCGTCAATGCGCACAGAACTATTGCGCACATGACGTCACCGACTTCAGCCGAACTTACCCGAATTGATGTGTGCGCAAGGAAGACGTTCTTTTTTGCACGTCCTCGTCCTCGTAATAATTTATATAGACAATATTTTTTTAATATCTTATCTTTTTCGAGCTAATTATTATCTTAAACGCAAACAAAATGACTAAGCCTTCTTTCTCTTGTAACATTGTTTAGAGATAAACATGGAAAGAAAGATTAGAAAACGTTGATTTTAGTTAGAAATTACGAATAATTATTTGACGAACTAGTTTCTCGTCGCGCAGGTTGCGCATGCGCTCAGAATTCGTTCGAAGATACATCGACTACTCGATCGACTCTACTCGGTTCGACTCGATTAAACTCGGCTTAACTTAGCTCGCTCGTTCCTTCGTTACTTGTTCGCTTACTGTGGTAGCCATATTGCTTTCAACGTGAGAAGTCGTATTTCGATCGTTTTCATGAAATTTTTCACGAAAAATCAATCTTATTTCTTTGATACTTAATTAATATTTTCATTCCAATAATAATAATCGAGAGATATTAATATATTAAACAAAAAATTTTCTCCTTAGAAAAAAATAAAAATGTTTTTGGCTATCTTTAATTTTTATTATTTTTTTGATTCTATGGAAATTAAATATGTATAAAAAGTAATGTATAAAAGTAATAATTCTGATGTAGAAAATAATCGATATTCGACGTGAAATCACGATTAGATTTATCAATAATTACTCGGCAACAACGAGCACATATATTTATAATATAAACAAAATGTCTATCCTATGATACCGTCATGTGTACATATTCTCTTTTATATATATGTATATTTAGTAAACCTACTTATCGTGCTCTCTCTCTCTCTCTCTCTTTCTCTCTCCCCACTCTTCTTAACTATTCTTAGATCGTTCTAGAAACGAGAAGTTGAACGTTCTTCGTATATATGTAATTACTCCTTGTAAATATATACACTTAACTAAACATATATTTTATCTTAATGATCGAAAAAATATACTTCTTAAAATGAAACGATTTATAATTATTTTAAGCGTATATATTTATATATAAAAAATATGTACGTATAAAATTGGGCTTTGATCTCATTATGCCCAAAATGAGTTTAAAAGAGCGAAAGTTTAGCGCGAAATAGAAATGCGAGAAGAAAAGTATAATATCGCGTTAGGATTACAAACGCCAACAAATGGTCACGTGTCTTGTAAACAGAAACACGCGGTGAAAGCAGGGTGGAACGCACGACGAGTAAAGTCACTTTTTTTTCAAATCCTCGATCTTCTTTATGGGATTTCACCTTTCTACGAGTTTATCCAATCGAACAAAGTTAAATATTAATTTTTTACACGTACGCGTATACGTTTATACATGTATTTGCTAACATTTTCTATAATTGTTTTCAATTCTCGTGAATTTTACGATGTATATATCAAGTTATATAATCTCAAAATGTATTTTTTTAATCTATCGAAATCCATAATAATTATTGACGATCGATGACTCACGTAGTTACTTACTTCCTCCATTTTTTTTATTTTTGCAGAATACTATATAGAATATTTTTTATTTCTATTTATTATTAAATATTTGTACGATTATAATATAGTACATACATTTATGATACATTATAATCTTGAATTTTATTAGATAATACATTTTTATCTATAACATATATGTATATATTTATTATTTATTAAATCAAAATGACGCACTCTACTGACGTAATTAATGATAAGTTCAAATTGTTTTATTTTCTTATAAATATGATTATAATAGAAATGTTTTGAAAGCATACAAAATAAATTTAGAGTTTTCCATTAGAAACGATATCTCGTCAAGAATCACCCATAATGATTCGGAAATAGAATCGTTAAAGCTACATATATATATATATATATATATATATATATATGATTGTTGTAGGTGCTGGAAAATTCAAGGTTGCGATTCGCGATCGACAATTGGAAACGACTGTTCATCCGATAGCAACTACGCTCACTGTGTTCTGTAATTAATTGTGATCGTTGTTTTTCTGACTTCTATTCATTTACTTTTAATTTTCTTTTCTTTTACTTTTCATTCATTAGTAAACACAACGAACTAACGATTTCACGAAATTTTATAAAAAAAACATTCTTTTATATTGACAAATTATTTTAGAAATTACATAAATGAAAGACAAACTTTATTAGAAGAGAAACATCAATTGAAGTAAATAAAAATAATTAAAAAAAAAAAAAAAAAAGAACTTTACATTGAAAATAATTGTAATTTAAGTGGATCTGTTTTACCGACAGATCAAATAAAAATTGATCGTAACAAAATCCAATATTTATTGAAAAATAAAAATTACTTTAATTGAAAAAGAAATTGGTTTTTGTGTTAAGCTACTCATTTTTTCAACATATCAACATATATTTAAACAAAATACTCACTCTCGCTTATTGTGATATTGAGATGACCAATGTTTTTGATATTGTACGATGACGATCTATAATCCTATATATATGTATATGTAGAAACATACGTGCATAAATACATACATAGATACATAAAACGTGAGCAATATTAGCGCGGAAATTGAATTACCTTTGTGCGACTGGTGCACCGATGAACATGAAAGACGTATATACAGTCAAGTTGTTGGCACCTTAACAAGCTTCCAATTAAATACAGCTGCGAATTATTATTTCTTTTGCAAGAAAGGTCTGGACATATTCGCGCGCGTGATTGGTTATAAAGAATCCATATTGTAATAATGAATTTCTTTCGTTTCTGATTAATCTACAAATAATTTTGTTCTTTCTTTGATTCGTTAGATTTATTTTAAACATTATATTTGTTCAAAACATCATAAATAATAATAATAATAATAATAATATTTCTTTTGTTACTCGATTAACTCATTCATTCGTTTATGCTTCATTCGTTTTAAACGAGTTTCGTACAAATTAGCGTAAACTATTATAATATATGTATATATATATTTCGTTTTTTGTATATTTTTAATTGTCTTGTTTTTCTTCTAATTTTTTTGTTTGTTTTAAAATGTATACGCGTATCTGTGTTTGTAATTGAAACGAGGAACGCAACGTGTTTTTATTCAAATCTCGTCAATGCGATCGGCATTGTCATTCGGACAGTGGCGAATTCATGAATACGCGAGTTTTCGTTTCCTGTGAAAGATTTACGAGCATTGTAGTAGTACGAAAAAAAAAAAAAAAAAACAAGAAAAATCAAAAAGAGAGAGAAAGAAAAAGAGATAGAACACGCGAACGCAACCGAGCGAGGACTACTCGTTTCCTCCCACATTCAATAAAAAATGTCGGAAATGTTTGCGCGCCATTCAGTGGAAATAATCATCGTGTGTCGTGTTCCTCTTGATTCGATATTCTACTACCGTGATTTTTTCAACTTTCAATGTATCTTGTACATATACGTATACCCACGTGTCACATAGATATAAACTATATATATATATATATATAAACAACATTTAAGAAAATACTTTACTATACTAGATATATATGTATATATATAATATGCAGTCTATAACATAGTAGTATGTGTTATAGTATATAGTATATAAAATAAACACGAACAATGAAACTAGTTGATTTGTTTTTATCTCTTTTTATTATTTAAAAACAAATGTTCTATTAGTCGTGTTGTTTTGTTATACTTAAAATACTTTAACCCTACCCTACTCTTGTGACCTCATATATAAACACGTTATTTATTCGAATTATTAGTTTTAGCGTATAATCCAATTATTTTTATATAATATATTTATATTTATATAAATAAAATTATATTATATTATATTATATTATATATCCCTAAAACGTTTAGTTATTTTGAATAAAATTTAGGATTTTCACACAATTTAATTGAAGTATACAATTTAAAGACAATATATACATAAAATATGTATGTAATTATCTTATTATATTATTCTCACACGAGAGTGTTTATTTTATTTTAGAAATTGAGAAAGCATAAGAAATAGAAGGATGCAGAGAGAGAGAGAGAGAGAGAGAGAGAGAGAGAGAGAATAAGAAGAAGAAGGGAAAGGAATAGGGAAACGTAATTTCGGTTCTAGTTGTGTCTGAAGGCGATGTCACAGTAGCGTGTGTCTTGTCTTCAGGATGGCTCCTTGAAGACTGTTGAAGATGTACAGGCAGTCGTGAGCTTAGAGAAGGCCTCTCTTCTCTGCCACGTCTCGGTAGATGAAAGGCTCTCGTGACTATCAAAGGGAAAGGGAAGAGATAAAGGCTCGAACACAGCAGACAATGGCCCTGAGCCTCCTACGTTTTCAGCTCGTTTTAGACAGTTTCTAACTACTACTACTACTACTACTATTATTTCTTATCACTACTACTACTAGTAGTATCATAATTATACTATTACTATTTATATGTTTTTAATTAGTCTTCTTTTTCTTACAGGAAATCACATACATATAGGTACTATTTAATATAGTATAATTTATAACACATTATGCATTGTTTTACTATTGTATATTATACAATAGTATAGTATACATATATAGTATATATATAATGTAGTATAGGAATTCATATATGATATAATACAGATGTTGTATAATATTTAATTTATTTATTACTATTATTACTATTATTACTTATCACTACTAATATTAGTAATATCATTATTATACTATTACTATTTATATATTTTTAATTAGTCTTCTTTTTCTTACAGGAAATCACATACATATAGGTACTATTTAATATAGTATAATTTATAACACAGTATGCATTATTTACTATTGTATAATATATAATATAGGATGTCATATATAATATAATATGGGTATTGTGTGTGTGTGTGTGTGCATAGTATTTAATTTTTTTATTTGTGTGTCAAGATAAATATATCGTGTCACAAGATATCGTTTAACTGTTAACCGGGGAATTCCCTTTTTAATTACGCAGCTTTTTTTTTATTCTTTATTTATCATTTTGTATATATTTATTTATTATTTATTATTTATTATTATTTATGCTTAAAATAAATAAAAAGAATATGAAATATATATTTTT